TACATCTGTTCTGCTTAATGATCCACTCAAAAAAATCTCAAACATGATTTTCTTTTACTTGAAATATAATGTTATACTCTCTACTTAAAGCCCACACATGCATTTTTGATCACACATCTGCAAACATTTCTGTTTTGACCTTATCTTCTCAAATGATTAAATATTGTGGAGGTTGGTGTCGTACTTCGGTGTTTTCGTACCTCGGTACCTTCGGTGGTTTGGACTGTCAGTGTCAGCGTCGTCTGGTCAGGGTTGTCCTGGCGCACTCCTGACAGGACCTCTACTCCGTTGTTAAACTCTCGGCTGCATGCGTAACAATCGGTACTCCCTTTATCTAGAGTGTTAGACCCCGTGCACTTGGGTCAACACAAGAGATCTCTGAGAGGCCCTGGAAACGACAGATGCAGGCAAGGTTTGAAATCAATCAAGCAGGTTTATTGTCAAATGCGAAGCTCTACCAGTTGGTAACAGAGATCAGTACAATGTTACACCACTGGGCACTATGGCCCGCGTTGACAAGGTACCAACACCGGGCAGGCCTATTGCCATATAACAAATATTAACAGCAGTTAGTCAAAGTTAAGCTACTGTGCACTCTGTAAGTTCAGGCAATGACACCTGCCATTCAGGCACCTAGTGCGCCCCCCCAGGTCGGCCGGAGAGCACCCTCTGCGGTGTCCTTTTATAGACAGGTACAAACAACTTACATCATTTCTTTACGTACCAGGTTACCACCCTCTGTTGCCTAGTTACCACCCCTCACCTTATGGAAGGAGGGCTTACTTACTATCCTTCGTGCTGTCAATTTCGACCTGGTCCTGAACCTAGGTCGGTATGTGCATTAGTTTTTAGGGAGTTTTTGTACCAAGACATTTCTTATTAAGATGTTCCATTACTCCCCTTTGGCTTACATTCTATACCCAGTGCCTCCCTGTGTCCTTCCATGCTTGACCTAACTTACACAATCACACAGTTATCAATAGAGTTTCTTTCTTGGCTCCTGTGTTACTGAACCAAAGTCTTACTCACTAGATTGCAGGCCTGTTGCTGTTTCCATGTTACAGGCCTCTATTTAGGCCTGCTGACTCCATGTCAGTCATGTTACTGACCCTCAACTTACTACAGTTGGCATTTGCCAGCAAGGGAAATACTTCACTGGTCCATCATAATAGTGTTCTCAGGGATTCATTATTTGGCAATGAGAATTTTCTCCCTCTTAGTACTTGGGAAAACATGTGGCCGCCAAGCTAGAAAGGTTATCGTTTTTATCAATAATACAAGTATTTTGAGGTTACAGCCAAATTGTATGCTATAGAGTACTTTGAACATTTAAATAAACCCACCTAAACTATTTCCTTGAATAAACCCCATACTCCAAAACCAGTTAGGATCTTAAGATTGCTTTCCTTAAAAGAGGTCAGAATTTCAGCAATGATTGAAACATAATGAGATTTTCTAAAAATGACAAAATGACATGATGATTATTTGAATCCTGAAGAAATAAAGAAAGCTGTGTAGCCGTGTGAGGGAGTGTATTCACACACACACACACAGGCTAGAGAGGGCACACACATATGGGCTAGAGAGGGTTAATCCTGCACTAAGGGCTGAGAAAGATACACCCCTCCCACCTTACTGGGCATGCTCCAGCTGAACAGGAATAAAAGGGAGCAGCTCAGCTCAGTTAGGCCCGATGGCCAAAGGGAGAGGACATGCTCTGCTTGCCTCAAGCAAGCTGCAGTGCAAACGTAGGCACAAAGACACCTCAACCCACGCTGAAGGTGAGATGCTCCCCAGAGGCTTCAGAGAGTTCAGAGGCCCCAAGAAAAGGAACACCCTAGACCAGGAAGAAGAGACATTGACTTGCACTGCGGCTGTGGAGATGGTGGTGGTAAATAACCCAGTGGAAGGTGACAGCCAACTGGTGAGTAAGCTGATGCTGGGAGTCAGGGTGTTTTGGTAGGAGCTTTTCCCTGCTGACTCAGTGGCTGGAGAAAGAGCCACTACTCGGTTCCTGAGGTTGGGTCCAGTGGAGAGGAAGGTCTTGGACCAATGTCCCCTCTAAGCTGCATAGCAGCACAGCTTCACATTAATCAGCCCTGCCCAATCAGTCAGCTCCTTGCACAGAGCCCTGACTGAGTGGGACTGATTAATCACCTGTGAAGTTGTGCTGCCCTGCAGCTTAGAGGGAACACTAGCCTGGACCCCATGTAACCCTCCACCCCATTTCTTGTCTCTAACCTGGGAGCTACACAGCCCTACACACTTGGGCAGATGTGTTGACTCTGGCCATTGGGCCGTACAGTCCTGAAGATTAGAGTAAATGTACTGAGTTGGGACAAGTGGGACAAATAGCTGCACACCTGTGGGCAGACCTATAGACAAGGCTTAGGAAGAACAAACCAGGGAATGATACACACACTCCATAAGGAAGCCAAGTACACTCACCCTGCATTAGGCATGGTTTTCCTCAACTGCATCACAAACTGCCTTCATCATGTAGTGTGTGCATGAAGATTTTTATGAGTACAAGCAGCTGCCAGTATAGGCACGAGTAGCTGCAGTTGTGTTTTGTGTTCCCTGCAGTAATGGGTTGAAAAAAGAACTTCAAAGGAACCTTCATTTATAAACCCTCAAGGCTCTGTAAATAATTCCGGAGGCCAACACGAGACTGATTATGCCCTCATATTGGAGGACACCAAGAACAAAACAGCGATTTAATTGTTCGCTATGCCCAAATTGTGCTTTTACAGCAAATGGGTAGCATTGTTCTTTTCTAATTGAAATTTTGCAGATTATTTGTTTATAATGAAAAATATGTCCTTTGAATACAGTGCTTCTGATATGAAAAATGTTAAAGTGGCAAATTAAATAGCTTGAAAAGTTTCTGCTCCTCTGAACAATGAAACAATGTACATTCATTACAAACCTTATTATACATCCCAAACTATCATACAGAAATGTGAACAGAATTTGGAACTTGTGTTTTCAGTTAGCACTAAACTAAATGTCACCTGAAATCTAATTCAAAGAAGTTGGCATTTTGCAATGCAATCTCTTAAGAGTGACAGTTTTAGGTATAGGGTCAATTTAGAATGTAAGATGTCACATCAAAGGGAGTAAACTTGGTTTCAATCTTATGACTATCTGTTTAAATAGTTACACTTTGCGGCACGGGTGATGTGTGAGGGTCACCAGGGGCACGTGCTCCCTAAAATGCCATGGACAGGAGGACTAAGGCCCGGAGCCTCTGGACATCCCGAGGGCTAGCAGGGAGGCCTGGCACCTGCAACAAGGGTCCATCCCCCTGGCACTCACCAGCAGCAGCAGGAGAAGCAGAACAATGAGGTCCTAGCTCACTCTGCTCCCTTGGCTTCTGGCTGCGTTGCTTGGGGTATGAGGTAGGTGGGGCAAGGGTGGAGCAAGGGCAGGGAAGAGGAGAGGGCAGAGTAGGGGTGGAGAGAGGTGGGGCCTCGGGCAATGGCAATTGTCCCAGCTCTTTCATGGGTTATGGGACGGGGAAGGCACGTGGCCTGCGTCCCTGTCACCAGTTGCCCCTACTTTGCAGTGCTGTTTAGCAATTTGTACAGCATGTAAGACTCTCTGTGTATCACAGAGTCACAGGCTATGTCTACATTACATTGATCTATCAGAAAAAGGTATGCAAATTGCTCTTCAGAAAAAGCTTTTCTGAAATTTGGCGTGGCTACACTGGACCAAACTTTGAAAAATCCCTCTCTTTCAGAAGATTCCTTCCTCCTCATGGAATGAGGAAGGCAGGGCTTCCAAAACAGTGCATTTCAACTTCTGCAAAAAAGCGGAAGAGCAAATGCGTTCTCTGGACATGGCGGAGTTTTTCCAGGATACCAGAAAAAACCCGCAGTGTAGGCATACCCTTAGAGAGCAGGAGTATCAAATATATGGTCTGTGGGCTGGATATGACTTGCATTATGTATTTATGTGGCTATGCATGACATTTTAGATCATTCAGAATTTAAATGACCATTTAGTGAAAATTAAGTTTCTAAACATTATGGCTGCAGAGGTAAGATTCTATACCATGAATGAAGAGTAAACTAATATCACGAAGTCTGTCTCCCTCTGCAAACATCCTGAAACAATGACTGAGGTGTGACCTCCCCAGTCTCCTATCCATTTCATTGGGCTACTATTCATCTCGGTCAGCTATCAACCCCCAAAAGCCCACTGTTGACACTGACATGTCAGCATTAACTATTCCTTTGCCAATCATTTTAGCCAGTGGAAGAATAAAGGGAGTAGGATTTAAATGAGCAAAGAAGTGCAGTGGGAGTTACTGCAGGGAAGGAAATGAAAATGGAAGAATAGAGAACACAAAGACAGAAGGGAGTCTCATGGTATGTCTACCCTACAAAGTTAGTTCGAACTAACGGACGTTAGTTCGAACTAACTTTCATAGGCGCTACACTAGCGCTCCGTTAGTTCGAATTTAATTCGAACTAACGGCGCGCTTAGTTCGAACTAGGTAATCCTCATTCCACGAGGATTAAGCCTAGTTCGAACTTACTAGTTCGAATTAAGGGCTGTGTAGATCCTTAATTCGAACTAGTGGGAGGCTAGCCTTCCCCAGGTTCCCCCTGGTGGCCTCTCTGGGCACAACCAGGAAAACTCTTCTCCTCTCCCCCAGCCCCGGGCCCTTAAAGGGGTAGACTCTGGCCAGACGGCACTGGAGTCA